ATGTTTTCCGGCCTTACTAGTTTTGTCCATGTTTTTAGTTGTGAAATTCGTCCGTTCTGTGTACATGTACAGTTTTGAAATGTTTTCCTCTTATGTTTATAAGAGGAATAAATGTGTAATTACCCTGCACAGTGATACCTCCATAAAAATTCTTTTAGTTAAGAACCTGAAGTTTTAAAACAAAGTTCTAGACCTCATTAAAATAGGATCGGGAGAATCTCAACAGTGGTTCGTACTTACTTATTGGGCACTACAACGTCATGGCTGTGTACTATTCCCATTGGCTCATTTGGTTTCCCTGGCCTTTGTCATCCGCTTCAATTCCTTCCGATTACTTCCTCGCTTCCTCCATTTCGTGTTATTTTCTCTCGGTGCTGAAGGAGGACATATCCAGGAACGCCTGGAAATTTAACGACAAGAAGTATCCTCATTGAAAGGTTGCAATTATGCGTAATGACTCACGTATGAGAGTAGGTTAAGGCAACTGAAGTAAATCATACGTTAGGCAAACTTTGAGCCAGGGTGACCGCAATTATGTCCATTAATTTAGGACTAGGATTTAAGTCTGATTTAGGATCCACTTAGTTAATCACAACCCACTCACACTTTATATGTCGCTGTCATGTTGGGTAGATCCTATCGGTTTTGTGATTCATGATAATTCCCTGTAGGGCATTTCATGAGCGCCCATCATAGAACAGCAGATAGAGTGGGTAATTTATAGATTTTCCCCGCTCGTTCAAGCTTCATAAAATACAGAAATTTTTTGGGACGTCCCCCTCGTCAAATGAAGTCTGTATGACAATATCACGGGTATGTGTGGCTAAGGGTTTGATGTTTTCCGGTAAGACATACCTACTTCCTCGGGAAAATCCCGAGAAGATTTGCTTGCGAAAGGCTTGCAAATAATTTTCACATCACCATTCATTAATGCGTCATTTTGTCGCATATCATTAAATGTTAAATTCAATGTGGTACTTGAAATAATTTTGAATTACGTCTATAAATAATTAGTCGCATTATTGTTAATATGAACTTTATTCAGCGTGTTTGCAACGCTACTGCTATAGGAGGTCACTCTTACTTTCATTTGACACTCATCAATCACTGTCACTCAAACATGCACACATAGTCACTCACTCACCGACGCAAAACAAAAGACACTGAAACCTTCATTAATAGGATTTGCTGCTGTCTTAGTTGCAGGCATACCTATATGTTTGCCGCAATATTGTTAGTTGTGATGTGCGACTTGTACATGATTTCATATTTACTTACTTCCCTTTCTGTTTCGACATTTGGTTCAAGTAAATTTTTGCAGATTGCCAATTGTCGTTTACTTTACTTTATTCTCGTATCTATCAGAGACGGTTTTGGTAGTTCAAGCTAGGTCCTTGCGGATCGCTACCAACGTCTCCCTCTTCTATTTTCCTCTGTTAACTTAACTTTGTAAACACAAAACACAAAATGAAAAAAAAACGAAAATAACGAAAATTCAACGCCCATAGATCCTGACGAAGATTATGAGGACGTCTGTACGAGCGCGCATCCGAGAAGGACCTGGACGGAGATCTGCGAGACGTGCATTGGGCGAATAAGCCGCCGAGTTTGACCTGTATGCGGACTACGAGGATGTCGAGGACGAATGGATTACCAGGGACCAGAGTGAGGAGACGACACAGAACGAGCAGCCACAGAGATGCACCAAGGATACCACACCCGAGATCGAGGACGAGCAAGTTGGAACCAGCCAG